TCCTTCCACTGGAATCATGTGTTTCATCTGCATTTTGTAAAGATCAGTTGTTCTTTACTTCTCAGTGCAGATTTTTGTGGCACCCGTCACCAGGGTATCTGAACCCTCTCTTTAAAGCTGAAATGGGAAGTTAGTCATGAGATCTGAAATAATTACAAGCCAGATGTTCTGTTCTTTTTTTTTTCTGGAGAGGGCAGAAGGCAGTTTCTTCAGTATGTTTGTTTTTGGCACGTTGTTTCCTTATGTGAAATACCATTTAGTATTTTTTGCATTTCCAAAGTCATAAAAGAATTTTTAAATGGTTAATTTAACTTTACATATATTAAAAAGCCATGTGTGTTAAGATAGCATAGAAGGATTCTGCATCATCAAGAGTAAAATAGCTGTTGCAGCAGTGTGCATAATTATGGGGCTGCAGTTTAGTCATCAGTCATAAAATATGTGGATTTCTTGTGAATCCAATACTTATTCCATTTCAGATGTAGAAAGAATTTACATGAAGAATTTAGTTTGCTCAGCACAGCACGGTTTGACCCATCTGAATCTATTAAAAGCTGTTATGTGTCATGCTGAAGAATAAGGTCCTAATTGAGGATATGTTTACAGAGTCCTGTAGCTCTGTGCCATTTGGAAAAGTGCTTGGAGAACTGAGTCCTACCGTGGTGTGAAGGTATAAATGAGACATCCAGATTTAAATTAAAGAGCTGATTTTTTTTTTTTTTTCTTGCTAGGATGCACACACCTGGAACAGTGAACAGAGGATTATACCAACTGCCTATTTGTAATGGGAAAACAGTTTTCTTTTTTAATGTATTACTCATATTAAACTTTGTGTTGTTTTTTTTTTTTTCTTAATCTTCCTCCTTTGGCTGACCCACAGCGGCACAGAAATGAGCATCTCAGTTGTTTGCCTGCAAATGAGTTATCAGCTTGTTGTAATTCTGCTGGCTTGAAATGCAGCTTTCTCTCCTTTATAGAGATGGGAGCTGAGAGGGTTCTTTGTGAGCAGAGGTGTGGGTGGGATCTGCTCTGTGTTCTTAAATCCTCATATCTGAATCTGTGGGTGAAGGGTTTTACAGGAGGAGAGCATGCATTTTTGTGCTTAAGGCACAAAAAAATAAAAACTTGATTATGCGTGCATTAGTTTCTTATGTTTATCAGAAACATCTGATACTGCTTGAGATAATAGACTCATAGAGTGGTGTGGGTTGGAAGGGACCTTTAGGATCACCTAATTCTAACCCCCACTACTATAGGCAGGGACACCTCCCTCTAGACCAGGTTGCTCAAAGCTCCATCCAACCTTGCCTTGAATGCTTCCAGGGAGGCATTTACAGCCTCTCTGGGCAACCTGTTCCAGTGTCTCACCACCCTTAAAGTAAAGAATTTCTTTCTAATATCTAGTCTAAATCTACCCTCTTCCAGTTTAAAGCCTTTTCCCCTCATCCTGTTGCTACGTGACCTTATAAAAAGTCTTCCTGTAGTTTTCCTGTAGACTTTCCCTTCTTTTCTCCAGGCTGAAGAGCCCCAGCTCTCACAGCCTGTCCTCAGAGGGAAAGTGCTTTGACCCTCTGTTCATCTTCATGGTCCTCCTCTGGACCCGCTCCAACAGCTCCATGTCTTTCTTTGTTGAGTGCCCCAGATCTGGATGCAGTACTCCAGGTGGTGGTCTCACAAGAGCAGAGTAGAGGGACAGAATCACCTCCCTCAACCTGCTGGTCACACTTCTGTTGATGCAATCCAGGGTATGATTGGCCTTCTGGGCTGCAAGCACGCATTGCCAGTTGATGTTGAGTCTTTCATCAGCTAACACTTCCAAATTCTTCTCCTCAGGGCTGCTCTCAAGCCGTTCTCCGTATCAGTTTTGCATCCTGGGGGAGATTCTGAAGTTATGGCTGCTTCTGGTGAACCAATAGCAGTTCGCCTACTGTGGGTTGTGTTCCAACTCCTTTCTTTTCTTCCAACCCCTTTTCCTTATCTCAGTGTAGTTTATAACTGAAAATTTGTAAATGTAAAAAATGTGTGTGCCAACTGTGTGTGCCAACCTTGTTCACTGCAAATGCATGAAGAATACCCTGATTCAAAGTAATTATTCTAGACATATTCCATGCTTGCTATTCCTTCCATGGAGTGGTATGCTCTTGATCATGATCTGCACGTTATACAGTGGTGAAATCCTTGGATTTCACATGGGTAAGGATTCTTTGGAAGAATTACAGATCTGTTCTTTAAAGTGCAACATAACTCTTAAGGATATATTTTCAGTTTCTTAACTTATCAAGTTAGATCACTAACTTGAGTTGAGATTAGTTATCACTTAGAAGCTTATCAAATCCACTGGGTTCATTGCTGCTGTTACGTCTCCCACAGGTCACGTTTTTCTTCCTTGTGCATTTGGTGTTATGTACCAACATGGAGGAAAACAGAAGAATTGGACTAAAGGTTGTAAAAGGCTGGTGAAAAGGAGAACTCTGAAAACTGAAAAAAGTCGACCTCAAGCATGAGTGTTATCAAGACAAGTGGCTTGACAAGTCTGCTGTAACCTTTTGAAGAAAAAGGAACAGGAACGAAGGATGATTCCTTACTCGGTTTTTAGATAAATGGATAAATGTAGGGAAAGACCATGTAGCAAAGGATAGCAGGCAGCAGAAGGAATGCTTTGCATGGCTTTAGTGAGGAAGTTTAATTGAACACGTTGGAAGTGAATGTCTTTTCTAATTCTTTGAAGCATCCATGATTTCTTTCATTTCTGTAAGATTTATCTGAAAGGCTGTTGCCTCTTTTCAGTAAAAGGTAAGGACTGATTAACTGTAGAAGATTACTGTTAAGTTTTCAAGTTCTATGGTGTCCATACACCACGGTTTGCTTTGCTTTGAGGCAGGTGGATGTTTTGCTTGACAGCTCTGGGCGCAGTAATGTGGACTGAAAATTTTCTAACTTAGCTTTCCAATACAGTGATAGAATGGTGCTCATAGACTGATCATTTTTCTGTTTCATTTTCTTCCCCTCTGTGCTTTGATGGCATAGTTGGCCTTTGAGATCTTTGAAACAATGAAGCAGGGATTGGGAGGCTCATTTCAGCTGAACGCCTTCATGCCATAAATTGGCTGCTCCTGAACAGCTTACAATGTGCTGCAGGTTCATTGGCTTCACTGGACTTATACCAAGAGTAAATGTTACCCTCTCTGTAGTCAAAACAACCACAGCAGCAAAGTGTAAGGGTGCCCTTAAAGTATTTGAGGGCTAATGGCGTGGCTGGCACATACTTAAGTTTAGCTGTGAGAGAAACTAAAACTTCTTTAGCTTAGATAACGTTTGAACTAAATGGTGGTATGAGTTATAAACCAAAAATTAAAGAGGTTGAGGCTTTCAGTAAGCTGAGCTGAGCTTTGATCCATGCTTGTGGATGTTGAGGAGCCCCCCGGAGACCAAGGGATCCTCTTGCTCAAGGGATGTAATTGCAGTTGCCCTTTTTAGTGACCCAATGAGGAAGCAGGAAAAAATTCAATGAAATCAAAGCACCGTTGGGTCACAGGAACCAATATCTGGTTTTGAATGCAGTGGAAAAAACTGTGTCCTTGCCAGAGGGAAACATAATTCCTCACATCCAGTAGGTGGTAGTTCTGGTTTTCTCCACAGCTTTTTAAATCCAAGGTAGTAATTACTCTATTCTCAGTTTCATCACACAGGATCATCTTTTTTTGTAAAGTGTTGTGCCACCCTGGCGTAGTGGTTATACCGAGATCTCAGCTGGAATTGATAATGAAAGCAAAATTTGGGAAAAGCAACAGGGTGTGTTGCTGCTATTGATCAAAGACTGCAGAGCTGGCTTTAAACACTTTTACTGGCTTTGATCTATCTTCTTCTATTGATTGAACACAGTAGATAAACAACTGTGCAGCATGAACATTTATTGTGGCTTTTAGGCTGACTAAGGACAGCCTTGAATATGAGAGTTGAAATGATGGCTTTCTGCTAAGTGTGGTACATAAAGACTATGCTTGCAGTGGCAATACAGTTTCATTTAAACATGGGGGAAGGAAATTAAATGCTGACACTCTTTTTATGTTTGAGAAGAATATTAAAAAAGATGCAAAATTGATTACAGGAAAGACCAAGGCTTTTTTCTTTTTAACTGTAATTACATGCGTAGCCCTGTCTCTTCTTGGCACTTTCTGAGAAATTTGTGTAAATTACTCAAATGTCTTTCAAAATGTGAATACAGGAGAGGTTCTGCAGTCAGTTCTAATGATGAGAATAGAAAGCTTTCCAGTGATTTCTTAGTGCCTTAGATTGGACCCTGGGCAGGCGTTGTTGATGTCTGGGAAAGGCTGGGATTGGTTTCTTGTCATTCCCTTAGTCTCTGAGGAGGTTCTTTGCATTTCTTGGGGGGAGATGGTGATTCAGCTATGTCTTTTCTTTTCTAACTGTGTTTATGTTCTTCTACCAAGGCTCCTTGGGAGAGCAGAGAGAAACTGAAAGATGCTGCTTTTGGGGGAAACTTGTTCATATCTTAAATACCTAAAATACTAATTCTGAGTAATGTCAAGCTTCATTCACTCCCTTTTCTCCCCTTCTTTTGCCTTTTTACCCCTTGTTTGGGAGAGGTTCTGCATTTGATTCCAGTATTGCACTGCTCTTATTTTTGCTTACTGATTGTGACAGGGCAGTAAGGGTTTTCCTTCCAATGGAAGCACTGGGCTGCATCACAGCATGGTGAGTAGGCTGTCTTGTTCCAAGGAGTGCTGCTTTATGCCAGTCTGCTAACACAGCTGGCACAGAGGGCCCTCTGGGCTCCTGCCTTCTCAGACACACCTGAAGCTTCTTCAAATTGGTTACTGTGTATGTTTGCTCTTCTTGCCATGAAACCTTCTGCAAAGCTAGCACTGCCTGTGTATGGAAAAGTTTGTGTTCACAAATTAATATTTGACTGATTTTTTCAAATGAAGTATATTATCTAGGGTCTCTTGAACTTGCTGTATGCTCTTCTTTATTTTCAGGATACTGGGGTTGGGAAATCAAGCATCGTTTGTCGATTTGTCCAGGACCACTTTGATCACAATATCAGTCCCACTATTGGGTGAGTAGTCTGCATATTATTTATATGTGTGTATGTGTGTGTGTGTATCTATTTCTATCTGTCTATATATAGATAGATAGACAGTAATTGTCCTCAATTGAACTCCTTTCTTTACTTTCAAGACTCTGAACACTGTATATATTTGTGTCTCCACTGTGTGTGTATACTTTTTTTTTTTTTTTTTTTTTGCTGCATGGCTGTATGCTCTCTGATGAAGGGGGCTGACAGAGCTGTGCCGTGTTTCTCATGGGATTGATGTCTCTTGATATCACTCTTTCTGGAGCTGCCCAGGACCACTCTGTATTTACCTGTATTGTGTATGGCTGTGGCTTCTTTTGCACAGAGTATGGTATTATGTATGTTACACACACACTCTTACATTTATATATATATATATATATATATATATTCGTGTAAAGGGGCTCATGTATATATGAGCTGACTGGATAACTGTAGTGCATGTATTGCTGTTTCATTTGTATGTACTGGAACAAGAAGTAAGTCTGTATAAGTAAATGTTAGTTCCTTCAGTTTTCACAGAAGATTTGAGGCCAAAGCCCTGATCTTTTTTGCGCTTGGGTAAACACAGGAATATTTCAGATTTTCATTAACATGAATAGAAAAAGGACCTTGTACTCGTTTTGCTGTAACTTTCTAGTAAGTCCTCAAAACCTAAATAATCCTAGGAATAGTTTATTACTGTCCTCAGTTTGCTTTGTTTTTCTTCACTCAGCTTAAGCTCATCTTAAATCTCTTACTCACCCAGTATCCTTTTCCTTCTTTTCTGTCAAGAGCTTCCAACATGAGATGATGCACTGATCATAGAGCTTTAGGATTAAGCTCACTTGAGTTCCCACTGGTCAGTAAGGTATCAAATCTGATCCTTGGAAATCAAATCTCATCCTTTAAAAAAAAAAAAAAAAAAAAAAAAAAAAAAAGCTGTGATGTGCATAATGACCAGGACAGCCCACAGCTGAGGGATAGCAGAAGAGTCATAGGAAACTGCTAATGTCCCTATGTTGTGTGTGCTGTCAGGCTGCACCTCAAGGTTGATGTGCATGTTCCCAGGTGAAGATGTGCTTTCACTTAGGGTTGGGATGTGTTACATTGCCCCTATTTTTGAGGAACAGGGGATAAAGCAATTTAAACAGAAGTATACTTAATTCACACCTGCTCTTCATAGAAACTGCCAAGATTCTGCATTTCAGACCATCAGAAACACTAGTCCTGTAGATGATTTTAATTCTGAAAATCTGTTCTTTCAACATCCTAGGGACAAATCTGCTGAGTCCAGCCTTATCGGGAGAACTTTGAAATTCTGCATCTTTTATAGGGAAAGTTAATATATAACATTCAGAAAGGAGTAACTTGGGTGAAAAGGCTTAGCTTGTTTGTGTGTTAGAGCTGTCTTAAATCTTCTGTGAAGGATTGGTCTTGTTTGTTCAGTGGTGTTTGGAGGGTAGGAAGATTTCTTCAAAATTTATGCCTTCGAATGCATGAAGGAGTCTCAGCTGAATGTTGCATGTTGAATTTCCAGGGCAATTCTGGACTTTTAAATATAATAAATACAGGAAAACAGGCAGAGAGGAGGGGAGCAAGGAAGCATGTAATGAATAACATTACCGGTTGAAGGAAACTTATTGACAGTGAAGGAATTGATGGGAGCTTGAGTAGTTCCTCACTTCATCATCAGTCTTTTTCCCCAAGTAGTTGTTGCTAAGTAAATATCTTCTGCTCAAATTGATTGAAAAATCCCTTTAATTTTCATAGTTGCGATAACAGGAAAAGTATTTTTCTAGTTGAGGATTAAAATGAGATTAAAAGACTAGCTTGCATACACTAGGTAGTACTCATCTGTGTAGGATGACTGTGGATAAGCTTTTTGTTATTTTCTCTGAATTAATCAGTTTGTTTTAAAGCATACAGTCCTTACAATCCATGATAGCTACTGAGGCTCTGAATTTCGTGTTTTTGAACTGTAAAATGTTGCTTAATACTTAGAGGAAAAAGGGTGATATCTGAAATTGCACATCCTGAAAATAACCAAAGTAAATGCTGCTGCTGTTGTTATTCTTGTTTTCCTTACTTAATATTTCTGTATGAAATGCAGCATTGTTAAATGCAAGGAATTTGCAGGTGGCTGTAGAGGCAAACTCCTGTATATCATTCTCAGAGATGTTTTGTTCAGTCCTATGTTGTTTGATGTACTTCAGTGCTTTTGTAATGACAGTGCATTGTATCTAATGCATCTTTATGAGCTGAGGAAAGATGTTTCCACAGCAGAAATTGCTCAGTCGAGTCTAGATAGGATGGGGGCAGAGGAATCTACTGGTTTGGCAGTCTCTTCTGGCCAGCTTTCAATTCAAATGCTGAAATATGGGAAAAGCATATTAAAAAAAAACCAACGTTAATCTTGTTTCCTAAAAGAAGAAAAATCACACTGAAACCATAGGCAAATCATATTTCCTACAAAAAAAAAAAAAGAAGCTTCAGAGATTTTTCCCTGAAGTGGGGGAAAGCTTTTTTGAATTTGTTACCATGTGCATTTCAGCAGGTGGCTTGTTTGTTCCCTAGTGCTTAAATCACCTGTGCACATGGCTAGCCTCCTAGATTTGACTGAAAATTTGTGTATTTCTTGCCTGATGTGATGCTGACTGCTGTTCTCAGGTCTGTATCACCAAGATGGAGACAGATGGCATCAGGGGTTGAGTGAAAATGGAAGGAGCATTTGTGTTCCTGTGCCAATGCACGTGAGCCCTCTGAATCTCAGGGGCATTCTGCTTTTTAAAAAATACAAATAAAGGTATTGTATACTTAATCTGGCAAAGGGAGCCTTTCACTTCTGTGGATGTTTTATGAAGGTTGTAGTGTTTTCCTGCATGCAGTCTAACAAAGCAGAACTGGCCGAAGTCGGTGGCTTTTTGTTGTCACTTATGTTACAAATTTCTATTGCTTTCTGCTCTTAGCTGTAAATGATATCTGGCTCCTCTTCTTTTCAGAGCATCCTTCATGACTAAAACTGTGCCTTGTGGGAATGAGCTTCATAAATTTCTGATCTGGGATACAGCTGGTCAGGAGCGGGTGAGTATTACTCTGCAGTGCATGTTTGTTATCCTGATCTCTTTAATGCATTTGTGCACTTTTATTTTTAATAAAAAGTTCCTCTTCAGAAGACTTTGCAAGTGTGTATCTGCTGAATCTTTGTAAGGCTCTGCAAAGCAGACAGTTGTCAATTGTTATTAAGTATGTTCTCATTTCACATCTGGGGAAAGTACAGAGGCAAACTCACTGTACATCAGACCTAAAAGGAAGCTGTGGATTTCAGCTCTGGTTTCATGATCAAGCTATGTGGATGTTGCCCATGTCCATGCTCTGATCATTTAAGGCAGCCTTGCTGTGGCTTAGACCATGCCTGAGAACTGGGCAATCCCTCTGTTGTATTCCCCAGCTCCTGTGTGGCAGCTTTCATGAATAATGGCAAGTGCTTGGCTGAGCTAGCACTGACTCCAAGGCTGTCCTTACTGGGGCGCTGAAGGTATGGGGCACTGAAGGTAGGCACAGATTGTGTCTGCTAATGGTTTTGAAGCTAGCACTGGCATCCTGAACCACATCGGATTTGCATCTTCATTGTTTGTGGGTTTGTTTTTTTTTTGTTTTTTTTTTTAATTTTGGTCAAGTGAATTGCTTAAATTAAATAGCTTTTCCTTTGGCTTTTCAAAAAAGCCGTGATTGAATTCTTGGGCAATCGATCACATTGATTGTATATATGGCTGTCTGGTCTTTTGTTTCTTTTAATAGGATTAATGGCAGTGGTATTTAATTAAAGGCTGGCTGTAGAATTCTCTTAATATATGGCCACATTTGACTTGAGAGATTTGAAAGAAATGGAAAAATATGTATTTTGAAAGATATTTGAAAACATGCTTTAAACTTTCTTATGAAATTACACGGTTTCTGTTCTTAGAAAAATGTAGCTGTGCTCATGGTAGGGTGAGGTAAAGGGAGATGCTTGTACAAACTGCAGTGTCAGTGTGCTGTATCATGCTGTGTTCTCCAAACCCGGCACTTGAATTGCAGACAATAAAGGTTCTTGCAACTAAATGCAGGAAATGTTTTTGTTTACAGTGTGTAGCATAACATGAAATGTGCCTGGTGAAATCTGTTGACTCTTAGCATTTTGGTATGTTATTTATGATGGGAACAGGGATCAATTAACAGCATCATCTGTTCCCTTGAACCTTATTTGTTCCATTTCTTTATGGCCTGGAATTGAACTATGTATTGCAAGAGTGTGCGTTCAGGCTTTTTTCCCATGGTTTGTCTTTGCTTATTCTTTCTCTGTCTTCTCTCTGCTGCCCCACTTTTTTTTTTCTTTCTCTTTTTCTTTTTCTCCCTTGCAGTTCTTTGGCCCAGAAATATAGAATCATAGAATATCCTGACTTGGAAGGGATTCTCAAGATTCATTGAGTCCAATACTTGGCTCCCCATAGACTACCCAAAATTAAACCCTGTGTCTGAAGGCAGTATCCAATGGTCCTTGGACTCTATCAGCTCAGTGTCACAACCACTGCCCTGGGGTAGCCTGTTCCATGCCCACCACCTTCCGGCAAAAAATCTTTTCCTAACCTCCAACCTGACCCTTCCCTGACGCAGCTCCATGGCATTCACTTGGGTCCTGTCACTGTCACCAGTCTCTGCAGGACCCCACTAGTGACTGGCCACCTGCCTGATGTAACTCTGTTTACTGTAACTCTCTGAGTTCATCACATTATGTACTTTGTGTAAAACTTGGTTATTGAAATTTAGTTATAAAGTCTATATGAGAAAGACAGGGACTCTTAAATTACGTCAAAAATATTAGTTTTTTTAAGTAGATGAATGATAATAAGTAGTATTTATGAAACTAATTAATACATCATTTGAGTCAGGAAATCTGTGACTGATCTCTGACTCTTGGATATGAGATCTATCTTTCCTATCCAGTCCCTTATGTTTCCTCTCCTTTTTTTTTTTTTTTTTTTTTTGAACATCTGCTTTCCTTTTCTTTCTTCAATGATGAGCAGTGACAACCAGAAATATATTTAAATATATTGCAGATAAGTTATGTTGAGAGTTTTCATGCGTAATAATGAATAGTAACCTCTGTCTTTTTCATTTTCACAATGTATTCCCAAACCCTGTACTAGGGTTCTTGAAATCTGGGGTGATAAATGATGTTGGGTGTTGAGTGCTTGTTACTAAGGCAGTTGAGTTTCCCAATTTGTCCATGTTGTCCTGGGTAGTTGTTCTGGAACATCACCTTTTTACGAGTAAACACATAGTGCTTCTCAGTAGCTTATTGATTGTAATTTGAAACTCTCATTAGTTTGTCATCATCATTTTGGTCCTTCTGATCTGCTGTTCAGGAACACGTGTCACCTGCCGTATCAATTTATACCAAATGATCCTCTGAATAACAGCGTTGACCCAAGTTTCCAACCTACAACAGGCTGTCTTTCATAATGTGCTAATAAATGTATTCCAAGTGGTGTTTCTGCTTTGAGACCTGCTGTCCTTCCCTTGTTCTCTGTGGTTTTGTTGAGTGTGTATGTTCCAGCGATAAAGTCTGGGAGTTTCGTCAGTGCTCCTACTGATAACTCTGTTTAGAACTTCCTGCTCTTTGAACATTGCGTCCATTTGGCTTTGTTCTCCAAAGTGCAAGGCCAAGCATAGGACACACGCGTACTTGTTCTGGATGTGAGCACGCTGTACTTCCCCCAGATGTGCCAGCTGTTGCTGTGTCTGCATGCTGTGCACCTCCTGGCCACCCTCTTGCAGTTGGAAGAACCTGGAAATTCACGTGGTCATGCTGAGGAAGCGCAGACGAGAAAAAAGCAAGCTGGAAGTGCTCAGCACCCCCTTGAGGCATTAGATCAACTTTCAGATACCCATTTGTCACTTGTCCAGCCTTTAGAAGTGTTGGTCCCTATTGATTTTAAAAGCTCGTGGTAATACCTGGGTTTATTCAAGAAACTGAATATACAGACTGACCAGTCAAAGCTTGGTCATGAACAGCAGGTAACTTTTAATTGGTGTGGATATTAGGTATCTACTTTTATTTCTTTTGTGTCAAGACGCTTAGAATCATAGGCAGAGTCAAGAATTGCCATTTTATGGGAGATGTTGAGCAGATATCATTCCTGCACGATGATGTTAATACAGCAGAAAGTGGGAATCAAAAGAATTTGTGATAGTGTTGATGGGAACGAATGCTCAGCACTGTTCCTAGAGGAGAACTGGGGAGGGCACGTGGCTTTCCTGCAGCATTTTCTGTGGATAATAGGAATTGTAGTTGATAGAAAAAAAGGAGAGAGCTTTTGCTAATCCTGTTATCTTGTTTTTTTCTTTTCCTTTTCTTGGGTAAGCAGAGCCTTAAACAGTCGGCAGCCTAACAAAATCCCTCAGCCTGTCTGTGTCTAAGTGCTGGTCTCTGCAGACCTAGTTGAATGCTGTTGCTATGTTTTCAAATGAGCTCACTTACTCTGTTTGCAGACTGTCACCTACCCTCTGCCTTTCTGTTCTTCAGATGTCATTTTTTTTTTTCCCCATCTTTTCCCTATCAGATTTAAATTGTTGATGTGGACTTCAGGAATTAAATTCATGACAATTACATTATTGTTAGCAAAGACTTTCTTCCTTAAGAAGGAACTCTTCACAAGTTAGCTAATGATGTTTTTATTAGCATATATTTTAGTTCATGATGCCCTAAGTAGCTTCTAATTACAGTGCTTTGTCTGAATACTTTGGGTGGCTGCCAGCTTTCCATTTTGCTAGCTGAGGAATACTACAGCAAATAGTTAGGGAGCCTGAGGGCTGTGTTTCTAGGGCAGGAAAATTTCTCTCTGTCCTTTTCAGGTTTTCTGGGTCTGTTTTTGTTTCTGCTTTTTTTTTTTTTTTTTTAACTGCTCAGTTTCCAGGCACGGACTGGCAAACATATCTGTAGCAATTCATAACCCTCTCTTTTGTGAGTGACAGTAGTTGCTCTGGTGATTTGAAGGCAGTGTCACAAGGTAAGATATGTACGTGCTCCTTGATAGGAGAGCTGCTTTACCTCATTTTTCCTGTGCTGGAAATTAGACGTTGGAGTTAAATTGAGGTTGTGGATTTCTGCCCTTTAAAGAAAAGGGGAGGCAGGGTACCTTTCTGTTGGGACCACAAAATCGTGAGAAATTGATTCAGCTCTGACATCCTGCTGAATCCTAGGAGGTCTTCTTTCCAGAAACAAAACCCTGGAGCTCAGTGTGTTGCTGGAGCTGGCCATGCTGTGTGGGCATGATCTCAGATGGGGACAGGTCAGCAGTTGGTAGCACCATGTGCCTTCCCAACCCAACACCAACCTTCTGGATGTTTCCACTGAAACCAAACTATTCTGAGAGGAGATTACAGTATGTGTCAGTGGTTTCAGTTACTTCTGTAGCAAAGGCATCACCCACATTTTATTCTACAGCTTTATACTGAGATGGTACTCCACAGTGTGGAGATGATTATCCATCCCCTTGGTAAGCAACTGCCAGAGTGCTGCAAAGTTCAAAAGGTGATTTGGCAGTGCATGTGTGTAAGAGCACAAATGGCATTAGATTGAGTGAACAAATATATTAATTTTATCTTTTTTAGGATGAACATAAAGCAAGGTTAAGTTGGTGCACGCAGATGTATTTCTTAAGCTTCAACAATCTTGCATGTGTAGTCTGAGCACAAGCCATGGTTTTGGTGTGGTATCTTTGCATGTTGTGCTTAATGACTGTAAACTTCTGAAGAGCTCAGCACAGCTCATTTCTGTGATGTGCTGTGGTGTTTGTTTTTTTTTTTTTGCTTTCTTGAAATATCTTCCAAAAAATTATCCTAAAATGTTGGCATTTTTCCCTCCTCACTTTTGGAGTTCTTAGATATCTGAGAAAATGCTCCTTCTTTTACTAAATCTTCATCAATTTAACTAGCAAGAAGACCAGGAGCTCAGGGGCAGACGTATCTTATGTGACTTACTGAGCTTGCAGATCCTGAGATTTCTTGTATATCCTTACAGGGGTAGCATCTCACTGATG